ACAAGACAACCTTTTCTCATAGTTTTTTTTTTTTTTTAAAGTATTTATTAACACATTCAAAAGCCTGTTTTGGGCAAACCCCATCACTACAGATGAAACAAACATATTGTTGAACAGCCACTCACCTAAAGCGCTCCCAACCAGTAGTAATACAGCCAGGTTTTCCTCAAAAATGCTCTGCTCCGGCAACAAAAAGAATGAATGATAAAGAAAATAAAAGTGTCCTCTAAAAAGAGACTAGAACCTACCTCCCCTCCCAGCTTCTGTACAAGGGAGACAAACCAGCCCTGCCCTGCACTCCAGGGCTTTAAGTGGGTTTGGAGAATTCAGAATAAGTGGGAACAGCTGCTCAGGATGGGGCTGACCAGAGCTCAGCTGTTCCGAGTCAGCAGCCGCTGCCCCAAGCGAAGGCAAAGGTGCCAAGTGCGGCTCGCTCACCCCGGTGCTGCCCAAAAGCAGCTCTGGGGCGGCAGGAGGGAGCGCACAGGCCGGAACAGGGCACCGGGGGCTGGAGTAGCTCCAGCAGCAACGAAGGGTGCTGCTATCAGTGGAAGGAGTCTGATTTTAATGCAATATTCCAGTCTCTCATCCTGCGTGCCCCACAGGTGTCCCTGCCGCCTTGGCCATCCGGCCCGGCAGCCACACGGAGTTGGCGAGTGTTTTACCCGCTGTTTTTAGGGATTTGAGAACAAGTAAGGGGATGGGAAAGGCCTTAGGGGTGTCTTTTTACTGGCACAAGGCACAAGGTAACATTAACTTTAAAAAAAAAAAAAAAAAGGAGAGAAAGGAAATGTGCACGATAAATAAAATAAAATGCTTTTGCCTGCTATTGTAGTTCTGTGTGTCTGTGAACTCCAGTAATTTCTCCTGCAGTGCAAATCCCTTCCACAGCCTTCCACAAGTTTTCCTCCCAGGAAAATGGCAATGGTGACATCTACTGCTCGAAGCAGAGAACAGTTTGGGCAGTTCTGCCCTCACCTGAGTTATTCCCAGGGCCTGTTTATTAAATAACAGCTGCATGAGCTAGATGCAGCGTAGCAATCTGATGACAAACATGCCTCCTAATAAAGAAAATCAACTAATAGCACGATGCTGTAGCCCCAGAGGATGGCTTGAGGAGCAAATATTTATAGAAGAGTATATCATACTAATCTAATTTTTGTTACTGTGTTAAAGTACCTTCAGAATGTACCTACTCTGCTCAGGTAAACATTTGCTTGCTTTAGGAGACCCGCAGGACTTCTGTGCATTAATTCCCTTCCCTTCTAGATTCATCTTCTCTATTAAGTTTTATGCTTTTCCTTTCATCCAATTAAAATCCTGTTTTTCTATTTATTTTCCAAGAGACTTAAGAGTGTGGATAAGAAACATGTTTAATTTCCTGCAGCAGAAAAATAAACTGATAAAAGAAGAAAACCTTAAAGATTACAAAAGAGGCTTCTAACAGTGTCTGCTGTGGTGTTTGAACATGACACTTCTGACATTCAAATGAAATTTGGGAGTCCCTTACTGCATGCATTATATCAACTTTATACTACATAATTCTCAACCTACGTAAGAATCAACTTTGAAGGTGCAAACCCAACGGGGGAGCAAAAGAGGAAGCGCAAGAGGCGGAAATGTTGCTGCTGGCCATGCATGGGGGATGGACAGAAGTCCAACACCCCAGGTCACAGCAAGCAAGGCAAAAGCAGTCCTAGATCTATGTCAGAAAGGGGAATGTCCCTTGTAAAATAGGTTATTTGCAATTAATGCTTTTAAAGAGCATTCCTACTTATGCCCAATTAATTTATTTATGAGCTGGCACCAAAGTCATTTCTACTAGTGTCTCCCTGGAATTAAAGCCATGTTATGCCCAAAAAGCAACTATTGCTACAAGTGTATTTTAGAGAAGAAAACCTGCAATTTTCTGACAGAGCTCATTGAAAAACACTTGAAAATCCCAGTCCCTTGCTCCTTGCCCACGCACAGCCCTAAATACTCAAAGCTGCTCCCGGGCCCAGGTGCTGCCTGGGCCTGGCACACTGGAGAGCAGCACCTGCAGCGTGTTGAACCATCATGAAAGCTGGATTTAAGCAGGAACGAGGAAGGAAGGGGGCTTCTTCTGAAGCATGGCTTTGGGAGGTGTACAGGAAGGAGATAGTAAAAGGGGGAGATAGAATTTTTCTTTATGAAAACCTTCAATAGCAGCTGATTTGTTAAATACTTTCCATAGTAGGTTGGAGGGCTGGGTATGAGTTCCTGTTTTGCTTAGCTTAGATCCTTATTTATTTAAGGAAGAGCTGTTAAGCTGAGGTTACTCAAACCCTGATGGCCTGTTGGGGTGCTACAAGAGCCAGCAGCAGCCTCATGGTGTGATGTGCTGCTGGACCAGATCCCAGCAGTTCTAACTCAGGTATCTCCAAGGGCTTGGAGGTTTCCCGCAGTAGGCACCAGCTGCAGGCCTGGCACTTTCCCACTTTATTAATATTTGGAGAGAGGTGGGGAAGGTATTTTGGAGCAGTGATATAATCCTGCTCTAGTTTTTCATTGCATGAGGTAATGAACATTTTCAGTGCTTAAAGGTGCTCTGAGAAGCTGCAGGGCATGTGTGAATGCCAGTGTTTTATGGAAGGGGTGGTTTTACTGCCAGCAGACTTAAAAAAAAAATCCCTGCAGTTTATATTAATAAGACTGGATGTTATTGTGTGTCAGGAGTTATTGTGATTTATAAAGTACTTGGTACTTGGTGTGTAATGAAACCACTTGGTGTTTGGTCCCAGTCCCTAACAGTAGATGATAGTAGCTTTATCTGCAATAGCCAACTTGACCTGGCACCTTCTATCACTTTTAATGATATTTTAGTACTGCCTTTTGCTTTCACCTGAGCTTAGGGCAGCTTCTGCACTGTGGATGCTCTTGTTTGAGAAGGGAAATGCACAGCTTGGTAGCAATGCTCCCAAACCCCTCTGCTGCTTTAGCACCCACGTATGTGGCCATGCAGTGTAAGAGAAGAGCAGTGTAGGGAGCTAGATGGGTGGTTGTCTCCAGGTGAGCGCTAGGTGATGGATCTTGAGCAGACTGGCTTGAAAAACCACCCTGCATTTAGCAGCATATTGCTGTGAAGCAGCCGAGTGGGAGCAGGTACTTGGAGCGGAGGACTCCTTGGACCACTTTCCTACAATATTCTTTGGCCCAAAAGTTTATGAATGTGTATTTGCTTAATATTAAGAACGGAGCTGATATGCCTCACCCTTGTCTGCCATGCTACACACTTGCCATATTCTTTAAATGCAGTTTGAGGAGGTAGAGATACAGCTGAAACTGAGGGCTGCTTGTCCTCTGCAGCACCTTATCTTCTGTCCCCTGACGATCTAATGCCTTTTTCTTGTTGGCTCTTATAAATACAAGCAGGTATAAAGATCTTTCTGCCTGTGCTTGAGCTTTGCAACATGAGCAGCTTCAGCAGAGCCGCTGCCCCTCGGGAAGCATGGTGGGGCAGATGGGTGAAATCTCTGCTCTCTCCCAATCCAAAACCTGTGTGAGATGTTGTATTTCCCGGAGCCCTGATGCCTGGTGTTGCAGGACGCATCTTTCCAGGGACCTCTCTCACATGCAGGGCTGCAGATGTTGCAAACCATGTACTACTGTGTGGGAAAACTCACTTCTTATAATAATAAAAAGAAAGAAAATCTACTTTGTGTGTGTGGATTTTGTGATGACACTGAAAGCATTTATAAAGCTGGTCTGCACTCGCACTGCAAAGGGAGCAGGGGAAGCCCTGCTGGGGCTCAGCGGGGGGACCTGGTGCCCGCATCGAGTCCTGTGGCTTGTCCCCTTTGCAAATGAGGGTTAATAAAGATTGAAGTGCTTAAACCTCAGGGTTCAGCCTGCCATGCTTGGGCAAAAAAAAAAAGGCCTTTAAGGATCAACTCCTCATTTTGCTTGCTGAAAGCAGGCTGTGAACTGAAGCTCTCCAGCCCCCTGGTGCTGCTGCTGCTGCCAAGATCTCAAGACACTCCGTAGTTTTCATATGGAAAAGAGGGGAAGTAGACGGGCAGTCGCAGCATCTTCTCCATCAGCAGTGAAGTGCTGAGATGGGCCTGTTTCTACCAAGGAAAGCGCTGCTGGGAAAAACTGGTCCTTAGTTTTCTGGAGTACTTTTCCCAGCTGAATATGCCCAACCTTTGCTTTTTCATTGCCTCCCTTGAGACCCTCAGCTTTTCCCCTGCAAGGAATGAGATTTTTTTTTTTTTTTTAACTCCAGCAAACAGGACATGTGGGACACAGCACAAGGTCCCCAGACTTGCGCTGCAGTCCCTGGAGCTAGCAATGCTCGCACACTGAGTGAAACAGAGACAAAATAAAAAGGCAATTATAAGAACACCCAGTGTATATCTCATCCCTTGTTAGTGTGGCAAAACAGGGGTAGGAGCCCTGGTAGGGGAAGAAAGTCCTCTAATAAACCCAGAGTGTGGCCAGCAAGAGGCACAGCTGTGATGACTGCTGCTTGTGCTCACACGCTGGTAACCATGGCCAGAGCTAGAGAAGCTTTGGGGCAGCATCACAGAGCCAAGGGCAGGATAAACCATTTTGCCTTTACTCCCAGTCCTAAATGTGCCGTATTAGGCTTTTCCTGCCATTCATAAGTCATGAGTCAACCAACAGTGGGAATAATGTGACTGGCTTTTAAGGAAAACACTTCCAAGGAGGATTTGGGGTTTGTCTGGCTTTTCTTTCCTTTCTGGGCTTTGGGCCTGTTAAATGCAGCTGAGTCAGGTTTTTCCCATAACCATGAGAGCTACAAACCTGCCTCTCTCAAAAACTATGAAATCATTTGGGGTATTGACAAGACGTCTGGCTATTAAGTGACTTAAATGCCTGGCCACATCTGAAGGCAATCACTTTAACAGCTTTCAATTACCATCACTGGCAACCCAAAAACCTGCAGCCTGTTATGGGAGAAGCCATTGAGGGTTTAAAAGCCTGTTAGTGAGACCTCTCCTCCCTTAAGGAAGGGGAGATGGGTTTTTTTGTTCTTCTGTGGCCATGAAAATGAGGGGTAAGTCATGCTTTGTTTATTTTTGGGGGAGTTTTTTGCTTCTTTTGGAGTTTGCCTGTTTGGGGCAGGTGTGTTTTCCAAGTGCTTTGTGTGAACTCCACCAGGCCCATCTCTTGTGCTCTTCAGTTTTCTGTCTCTCTCTTTGGCTGGATTGCTGAGCAGTGGGGGCTGCAGCTGGAGATCTTGCCTCTCCTAGGGTGACCCTGCCCAGATGATGTGGTGGATGTTTTGAGTATGTGTTCCTCATGGCCGAGAACTTCTCTTGTCTTCTTTTAGCTGAGCTGCCATGGACACTTAAACTTGGTAGAGAAGGAGACTCAAGGGTATCAGCCCCTGATAAAATCTGGGCAAAACACTGTTTTTTCTGGCCACGTTGGCCTGGGTGCTGCCTTGCACCCTACCTGCCCCAGGGTGGCAAGCCCTTGTGACAGGGATGCCATATGCCAAGCAGTTGAGGTCACCTTGTCTGTGTGACATGGCCTTGATGCCCCTCAAATGGGGAAGATTTTCCTTACCTTGTGGTGAGCCTGTTTTGGGATGGGAAGTGCCCAGGTACAGCTGTGTGTTGCAGGAGGAAATGCTGTGTTAGTAAGGCCAGTAGTGGCCAAAAAAGTTGACTGCTGAAGCTGTCCCCCTCTTTTTGTTGCTTTTGGGATGTTTAGATGCTGCTGCAAAAGCAGCCTCCTTTCTGTTACCATCCATGCAGAAGGAAAGCAGCTTCATGGGGATGATATATTTATATATTTTTTTCCTGCTTGAGCCTTGGCACGACTTGTGGTTCTCCTTTGTTGCCCTCTGACTGCAGTGTGCAGCTTGGGTGGTGTGGGGGCTGCTGGCCTCTGTGAGGGGAGGTGAAAAGCACCAAAAAAAAGTAACTGTGGAGCCTCTGTACCAGCTGAAATCCCTTTGGATGGGGATGGCTTCTCTGCAGAGCACTGAGCTTCTCCATAAGCTTTTGCCCTGCTTCTCCTTGGTGTCCCACCAGGACTCTGAGCACAGCTGTCTCTTTGTAATTGATACTGGATGGTCTTTCTTTAAACTTAAATTGCATAATAGATGTGACCTTTGAAAAAAGACAAAAAAGAATTTATTTCTTTCAGCTCCCATAAAAAGCATGTGGAGGTTTTTGTTACTGAAATGTGCTAATCAGTTTAGTGCGTGTGTGCATGTTTGTACTTCTGAGCTTATTGAAAGGGCTGTGATGATATGAAAATCTCCCCCAAAGGTAAATCCTTGCACGGGCATCCCAGTGCTTAGCCCCTGCTCAGCTCTGCGCTGGCCAGAGGCTGGTGCAGGGGAGGAAAACACATATGATTTTGGCAGAACTTAAACGTCTGTGTGGATCATAGAGGGCAATTTTTGCCTTCCCACTCCTGAATGTACAGACTCCACGTGCACTGGCAGTGTGAAATGCTGGTTAATGGAGACTGAGCTAGGCAGCAACCACTGGCTTTAACACTGAAGCTCCCAGGCAGTAGGTCAACCCAGCTGTTAAATGCCCCCAGCTAAAGCTGTGCTCTGCAGCTGCAGAGATGAGGAGGCTAGTGAGCAAGTATATAAAATGTGAAATAAATGTTTTCTATGTTCACTGCAGGGAACAAGAGATGCAGGAAGCTGGGGCGGAGGGGACAGGAGCCTCTGTGAGTTGGTCTTGAGGTGTCTCTGGGGAAGCGCTGCCAGGCAGGAATGTTCCAGGCCTTCCCTGTGGGCAGATGGTCATGGAGAAGCGTGCGGCTCTGCTCCCTGCCCCGTGTGCCCACATCTTGTCACACCAAGCAAGCAGGGAGGAAAACAAACAAGCTACAGATGGACACTGGCAGCCTGTCACTGAGCACGAGCCTCAAAATGCAAAATAAACTCGGAGCAGCTGCTGGCGTCTTCTCAGCAGCAGCTACTGTGTCTTCTGCTTGGGTGTTGAACCTCCCCATTGCCTTCCCAAGGTGGGTGTTGCTGTAAGACCAAGTGTCAGTGAGTGTGTAGCCATCAAGATGCCCTCTTGCTCCATGGTCTCCTGCAGTGCTGCAGCACATCAAGCTCCATCACTGCATAGGACAACATCCTGGGTGGCTCCTGAATTCTTATATTGGTTTTTTGGCACCACGTTGGTGTTGTCCAAGCCCAAAGGAGGTCCCCAGGGGCTCTGTTACATTGCTACCCCCTGAGTCCTCCACCACAAAAGCTCCTTGGGAAACAGCGGAGCAGCCGGCAGCACAGCACTGCACTTGACTCAGTTTGGTCTTGTGCCCACTCTGCGCTGGGGTCAAATAGCATTTTATTTCTTTTTTTTTTTTTCTTCCTGTAAGCAAAAGTATAGAGCTCTTTCTCAAAGTGATGCTGTATTTACAGAGGATGCTTAAAAAATTCCTGGTTTGTTGGGTTGGGCACAATAAAACACACATTGAGGCATCTTGGTGCGAATTGTGCTTTTGGTTACACAGCCCAGGCTCGCTCTGCAAGGGGATTCCACAGCTTCGAGGCTGCCTGCCTCCCTAATTTATGTCTTTAAAAACCAAAGATGAGTCGCTTGTGCGTTACATTTTATTGATGTTACTGTAAAATACATATTTGCTTGCATTGCTAATTGGGGAAGCACAGATGGCCGTGGCTTCTGTTCGAATGCTCTGCTCTTTAAAATAGCTGGTAGCGTTACAACAAAGCGCAGTCATTGAAACGCCTGCCGCACGGCGGGCACCCAGCAGGAGCTTCGTCCCTGGGAATTAGGGTTCGGTCTGTTTTGAGGAGAGAGAGGCCCTGGATTAACCCTTCCCTGTGGGAGGTGCTGGCTGCTGCACTGCTTGGTGCTGCTTTGCCCATATCTAAGGTGACTTTTGTGCCGTTTGAAGGGTTTGTAACGGGGAGTAACTCTTGTGCCTCAAAACTTGCATAGGAGAAGAAACCTGGAGCTGACAGGAGTCCGATATCATTTCCTCTCTGCAATTGCTTCCCCATGCATAGTATGTCCTATAATGAAAAAAGGTTGAAGAAATAGGGTTCTCTTCCCTGAAAATATTGCCCCTAGTAGTATCTGGAGGCTGTAGAGCTTGGGAGCAGGGAGCACAGCCCTGTGTGCAGGTGGTTGGTCATCTTCAGAAGACACTTTTAATGCTCTCCTGCCACCAAATCCAACCTGCCTTGAGCAACTGCATCGCAAGTGAGCAGCGTTTTGTAGAGCGCTTGCAACGTGTTGGCAGCAAGCTGCAAAAGTGTGTGGTGGTAGCAGGGGCTCTCCCAGCAATTCTGGTTTTTAAGGCTGTTCTGTGAGGAAGCAGCTGCACTGGGGCAGCTGCTGCACCTCAATCTGCATCTCCTCTCTGCTGCGAGAAGCGCTGAGGCTGCAGTGGGGTTAAAACCCTCCTGTTTTATTAACTCTTGTGGTAATTGCACTCTGGGCTGGCATGAAGGAGAGGAAGGCTGGGGGAAGTGACAGCCACCTTGGTGGGACTCCTCTGAAACCCTTTAAAGTCAATAGAAAAACTCTCTCTGACTTTGCCATGCTCTAGTTCCAAGAGATGGGTAGATTCAAGTGAGGGAGGCAGGAGAGCACTGCAACCACTGAAAGCTGCTGCTCTGCTTTGCAACCTTGTCTTTTCCAGTGGATCCTTCCAGCTGATATAACCCAAATATTTGCCAGTTGGGCAATCTGCAGCACAGAAAAGCACGAGTTCAGGCAGCCCAGGCTCAGACGAGACAGTCCCTTTAATCCTTGCACTTGGAAGATCCCAGTGCTAGAAAACTTTTTTTAGTTATTGCAACAACTGTTACAGACAAGCTTGGAGGTATGAGGTTTTATTCTGGAGGTATGAGGTTTTATTCTTCCTCTGACACCGCAGTTAATGAAGTTTTATCAACTGCCTTTTATTGCAGTAATCTAAAACTGTATCCTGTAATAGGATCATAAACATTTAATGAAACTCAATGTTGTAGGAATGAAAAAAAGAGGTGGCAGGAGAGGCTTTATGGTGGATTAACGGGTGGGAGAAGGGAAGGAACAGAGGATGGAGTGGGCTGAGACCTCGGTGCTAGAGACAGAGAGATCTTGGGGATAAGAGACTCGGTGCCTTTGACTCTGCTCACCTTGGATACCCTAATCCTGGTGATTGCTGCTTTGCTCCTCATGCTGAGTGCTGCACAAGGAAGCATGGAATATCAAGTTCTGCTAACTCGGGGCAAGGCACATTGCTAGAAGAAGGGAACGCTATTAATCCTTAATTATTTTCCGTGTGTCTTCCCTTCCCAGAGCTTCTCTGTGCTGAGAACTTCTCCCTGTTTCTGTGCTCTGCTTTTCTTTGCCTGCAGCTATGGGCTTAAAGAGAATATAGATCAAAAATAGTTGAAAAGTTGTCATCTTTTTTTCAACAAAAATTCTGAATAAAGTACTACTCAGTTGACATAAAAATAATTTGCTCTCTGTTAAGCCTGCTAATTTTTTTCACAAGAACTGAATAACTGAAATCAGCAATACATTTCCAAGGCTAGAAAGCGTAAGTTTAGGATGGACATTTTTCAGGTTTGACTAGCAGAAGCTAAAGGGAAAAAATTAAATATAGGTTTTGAGGAAAAATACTCCTACAGAATGAACTTTTCTCCTGTTGAGGTAAGTCATAAGGGACAGGTCTGCAGCTCCTGTACACCTGCATAGCTATTCTTCTATTTTCTTAGAATAATGATACTGAGTAATTGTAATAAACGCTACCTGCCTCTTTGCCTTAGTGTGTGTGACGTAGGTTGTGGCCCAAAAGCAGCAGGGTGGTATGTAGAACAATGTGATGTCAATGTTAGGCCTCATCTACACAGGTGGCACTTCAGGTGTTCCACAGGTGTATTTTGTCTCCCTTTTCACCCAAAAAAAGTAAAATCATGGTGAAAAGGAAAACCTTAAAATAACGTGTGATCTGGGAGTGTGAGTACACAAATTGTCAGAGCCAACTTTTGAAATAAACATTTGCAAATGTTACGATCAGCCACGTCTGAGAAAATAAATTGTAGTAGTCTTAAGATAA